TTTATGAATAAAAAAAAGAAAGGAAAAAAAGTATACACAAGAGAATTGAACCTGATCACTCAAGCGTATGAGTCAGGATCGTTACCACTCAGCCACAGGACACTCAAGAGGAAGCACGCATAACTTATATATAAAGTGATAAAGAAAAGTTTAAGTTTGTTTTTCTCGATTATATTTTAGTATTGCACTTTAGTATTTTACAGGTAGTACACTCACATGGTGTACTACCTCTACACCAAAGATCATCAAAATCTGTTTCTCCAAAGCTATAGGGTTCCTTGTCAGTTTTTAAAGATTTTTAGAAAAAGATCAAATTATAGTTTTTTTAATCTAATTGCATTTGTTAAATGAATAGAATGTTTCTGGTAATTATAGGAGATAAATTATAACTTTTCTATCCTTTGTCAAAATGATTTATATATAAATGATTTTTGCAATTTTTACAGTATTTTTATCGGCAATCTTAATAAATAAAATATTTATCTTCTGAGATATTTGATTATTAATACTTAAGGGTTTAACATAGCAGATGAGATGGAATAACAAATTTTATCTGCTACCTTAACACATCTCATTTTAGATGAAAATTACATAATCACAGGGATGATAAATTGCATTCTGTAAACTAATAGAATTTGTAACTGATAACTTTTATTAAAATGTTTGAATTTGATAGTAATAAAATGGTTGTAAAATTTGTTTACAAAATAAACAAAATATAAAGTCTTATTTAAATTAATTTTGAATGAAAGACAACTGTAAAGCTTAATAAATATTAATGTTTTAAATCATTTTTGCTGGACTGTTCTGATTACTTATTTTGGATTTTTAAGTTATTGAGAAGTTGATTATTGGTATAGTAAACATCCTAATTACAAACGTTCTAGGAACCAAAATTTAAGCAGTTTGTTAATTAGGATGGTTCGTTATTAGGATGGATCACACATCCTCAGATGGCGGATTTCTAAGAACAGTCTATTTTCATGCCAGGTGAGGAAAGTAGACTAAATGTACATTGTTAAGCATTGATTTTAAGCTATTGTTTGTTATTTTATTTTCTTTATGATAGAGCTCAATTGTACTGAATTAATTTGATTATTGATTTGCTGCTGTCTACGAGTTTGTATAATAAACAATTCCAAAGGTAATTTATTATAAAAATAAATTGTGAACATACATATATTTACTTAATATTGCTTCCAACTAATTTCTCCAAATTAATTAATTATGTATAATAACATTCAGGACTTCTTATCTGTGGTTGGATTATACACATCTTGTACAATTATAAATTACAGTATATCAATTTTATTTAGTTTTTGGGAAATATTTTTTAATAGTTATTTGCTTCATTTGATTCTTGAGTTCCTTTGTAGCAGCACACTCAATTTCCATAAATAATTTTATGTTGTTATGGGCATCTTCTGATGTCAGAAAGAGTGCTTCCAGAGTTTGCAATGCAGCATTCACATTGCTTCTCTTTGGCTTCTTAACTTCATCATCATCATTTTTTCCATCAGTTGTGGGTTGCTATGATTCTGTACAAACATTTTCTACCTATTTCCGTTAAAATCAAATCTTTATCAACTTCCACAAAATCATTGAAGCCGTACAATACTGGATATAGCCTCTCAATCACTCTTTTCTTTATTGGTATTTTCAGTGATATAAACATCCACTTTTGTTGAAAAACCTATTTTTCAAAAGCAGTTGGAAATAGCATTGGCAAGCATTTTGTCTCAACATACAGTCCAGACTCTATATAGCTTGAAACACATTTCATTTCAGTTTTGCTAAGTTGATGTCTGTGTCCTTATGTATATGTATGTATATTTTAGCCAAGAAATGATGCCCTGGTTCATTGACTACAGCTTTCTTATGCAGTTTAGAGAGAAAAACACCATCTTCATATTCTTCAAAGATAGTCCTTCTAATTTATGAACCAAGAGTCAATGAACAGGATAATCTTGTGATTGTGAAAGCTCATAGTTGAATCCAGACACTGAAGCCACTGATGGAGAATTGCAGTAACCACCATAAGCTAGTCAAAATCTAAGTATCCAAATCATCATATGCAAGTGGTTAACCTGGTCCATTTTTTTGATCTGGAAAATGTATGTGAGGCATGAGGTATAGAATATACAATACAACATCAGTTTTTAATAAATAGGATTAATGTTTTAATGGTTTACCATTTCAAACAAAAACTCCATTTCTGCTTTTATTCTTTACGACCTGTGTCCAGAAAATGCAACTTAGAAATTCAATATATTACAAAAATTTTTACAGTATTTTTCAGTTTTTGCATGACCTGCAATGATTGTTGACAGGCTTGATTTTGGAATACAAAATTTCTGGGCTTTTTTTTTTTTTTTTTCAACTTTCATCAACAGCTTTCAGAATGTTGAAGAAATTTCTTTGCAACAGAAAGACACTTGTACTGATTCCTGATAACTGCTGCTGGTCATTGTGTTACAGAACAGAAGAATTTACAGTTAAAAGAACTTTTTTAAAGTTGTTTTTTAACAATATGACATAATTTAAGGTTTACTCATTTAATCAGAACCTTATCTCTACTGATTTTATCAGGACAGATTTTACTCCAGAAGACAACTTTATTCTTATTTATCTCAATTTAAATGTCATATCATAATCATATGCCTGCAAATGTCTAATCCATTTCCTTGGTATAGAGATAAAACATGATTTTATCTTTGGTTCATATTTAATATTAACTGCTGTGGGAAACATTCTTCAAAATTTTTACAAATATTAAATATTTGTTTATCCAAATTGGAAAAACCTGATCCTTCCATATAATTTTAATTTGATTCATAATGTTGTCTTCAAGGTAAGTATTATTTATTTCTATTACAATTTTATTACAGACTGTGATGCCTTAAGATCAATGCATAATTGGGATGACAATTTGTGTTGATTGCTTGTTCTACTTGTTGAATCTTTTAGCCTTGAAAATTGACTAATATGATTGATTGAACCTGTTATCAATGGTAACATGTTAATTTTGCCACTTGTGCCTCATTGACCTTTACACAAACTTCTTATATATAATGACTCCCTGATGTAGTCATGCTTGTACTGTACATGCATACTTCTACATACTCTGCATTATATTGTATCATTGTTTTAATATATCATCATATTTAAAGGTGTGCTGTCAGAGCATGCAAGATAGGCAATGCATACCCAAAAATATCAGTAAAAATATTTTTTATTGAGTTTTTCAAAGCAAAAATTCAAATTTACATCAATCTCTGCACTAATATACATGGCAATCTGTATCTCCCTATCTGGTGCAAGGCTACAGTTCTAGATTTTCATGGCTCTTGCAAACAAGGATAGAATTAGGTTGCCTTAATCTCCCACAGAGTTGCTATACACAACCCTTTAAATGCTATCCATTGGGTAAATAGATAGAAAGGTAGGCACTGCTCATTCCTGTCTCTGATATTAGATGGGGGAAGAATACCTCACAGACAGTGTTGCAACAAGAAAATTTGAAAGTGCAATAAGACTTGACAGAAAACTTACTGGAAAGTAGGACATTTAAATGAAAACTTTTAAAAAACAACTTTATATATTTGTAGTACTGTTCAGAAAGTAAAAAAATTATATAAATAAATAAAAACAGCTGTCATTGTCACATGTAACATTAAATAAAAATCTGTATTTCATATTAAATTCATTTTTATTTAACCATTTAATTTAAATAATAGAATTTAATTTAAATAATTTTTTTGCAAACACTAAATAGCCATTCATTAAAAATACAAAAATAAGTAAATAGACACTACTTAATTTGTATCAATTCAATTACTTAAATTACATAAACTATACTTACTTTTCATACAGTTTATGATACTACTATGTAAATTTAGATAAATAATAACAACTACACTTAAACACCAATAAACCAGCAAAAACTTCTGGTTTATTGGTGTTTAAGTGTAGTTGTAGTTTTAGTTGTTGTTATTATCTATACTTACTTTTCCATTTTTCTTTATCTTAATAAACTAATGACCACTAGGCCTCTGGGGTGTACATAAGAATTGGGGAAGAGAATAAAAGAGCCATGTTTTGATGATAAAAGTTTTGCATGATCACAAGTTTTAGATTTTGTACTGAAAATAGCCATTTTTTGAAAAGTGATACTAATGTATGGAATTTCATAAAAACATACTGAATTCAGTACAATTTTATCAAAACGGTAACACTGCTCATAGTATTGAATCCATGCTGTAGTATATGCAATGTTGCACACTACATGGACTACAGATGTGAAGTGCATGTTTGTGAATGTTTTCATTTGATTTTGACGGCTATAGATAGTACTTGTGCAAGATTGACTGAGTGAAAGTATCTTTTGATACAAATAGGTGCGTTGCAACATTACATATAGACATAGAAATTGCACATATGGCATCATGTTACCAATTTTTTTCCTACTTATTATAATTAAAATCAAAAACATTTTTTCTGCTTGCCACTAATCATATTCATGATTGCTGCCTACTTTCTAAATCATCAAATTTAAACTGAAATTCGGGCCTTATCTGAAGATTGTGCTAGCCAATTTTTTGACCTGTTATGTTGCTTTTGTTTACATATTTAAAACATCCATATAGATATGAATGTGAAAAATAAATTAGTATTGATTTACTTTTGTGAATTGTAATATTGGATTTTCTAAATATTTTTCAGAAGTGTACGATTTAAGTAGCTAATTTATTAGTCATTTAGATAATAATATAAATTTTAGAAAACAATTCAGATAAATTTATTTATTTTTAACATTTTATGTTTACCTACTTTGATTTTATAAATTTAAATATAACTGTGAATTTTAAAATTATTATTGCTTATTCCATACATTTTTATTGATATATTTTTTCTATAATATATAATTTTAGTGTATAAATATTTTACTAATTTGTTTTATAAACATATATTTTAGATGTGAAAATTTTGCCTCGTGTGGCCCAATCTACAGCTATTTCCGTTATAACTAATCACAGTGAATTGAATAAACTTTCATTATATAATCATGAGAATTCAAAGAATGGCTCAAGATCTATTAATAGTCCAAGCAGTTCACCTGAAATCAGAGCAGCTGCAATGCAAAGATTGGCCATACAAAAAGGTAAATTGATTAATTATACATGCTTTTCTTAATTAGTGAATTTCAGAAATTGAATAATTTTTTTATTTTATTTGTCCTTGCTTTCTATATTAAAACTGTAAATGGGATGTAATTAAAATATAAAATTTTACTTTTAGTAAAACTAGTTTTGAAATTTGAGGATGACTAAAATATATATTTAAAACTTGTTAACTTAATCTTTGAACCCAGAAATGCAAGTCTTATCAAATGTATTTATTTACAATTTTTAGTTTTATTTTCAACAACTTGATCACAAAATATACAGAATGAACCCCAATTTACAAGTATATGTTGTTCTTGAAAAATCTTCTCTTGTTAATCAAAATTTTGTAAATAAGGTCAAGCTTTTCCATTATTTTTTTTATGGTCAAAATTTGTACTTCATTTCAGCATACTTAGTCACTCTATCATATTACTTAATAGTATAGCATTGTTTCCCAAGTAAAATGATTGATTAGGTTATGAACTAGCATGAAATGAAAAAGTAACTTAATTATTTGCTTATGTCATACTTGTCAGACACTCATTCATATAATAGTAAGAAAACAAAAGTTAGTTCAAATTAAGAATAAAGCAAACTGTCTTTTAGCATTAAAGTTGTTACTTGCTAAGATTTTTTAATTATAAACAAGTACTTTTGACATTTCAAAATACCATCTTCAGGTTGAGCATATACCATTCAAATTACAATTTTTATAAAAGTACATTAACAGATTTCAAACACAAAGTACATTTATTTTAAATCATAGTGCATAGTTTTTACATAAAATTCAACAGACACAAAATAGATGTTATGATTGTAACATATCAACCTTAAAAATAAAAATAAATAAGCAAAAATATGCAATTATTTTAATATTTTATAAAGTGTAACCTATACCTCTGGTAGTTCAAGAATGGATTTGTTACAGAGCTCTAACATTGTTATGTATAATGACTCCCAGAGAAAGATGGTTCTCTGATTTAAACATCACTTAAGGAGGGAATCTTCAGACCATAAAGATGTAAAATCATTCTGTAATATTTTTTTCTAGCAAGGTCAGTAGTAATCCTATTATTATTATCAATGTTGTGATGTTCTTGAAAACAGTATGCTAATTTTCTGGTAGTAGCTCCTATTAATTCTTTTTGCCTCTGTCTTTACTTTATTGATTTCTTGTATCTTTGTCTACATTGGACTTTTTCTATTAATAGGACTTATTACACCAGTATAATAAGTTAATTTTTAATAATCTACAGCCAAAATTCTGATGAAGTGGAAGATGCAAACAGCAGGAAAAACAGATAAGAATAAAGATATTTTGTTTTGATTTTTGACAAGACTATGTCTTGTTTATAAAATTGCACTGCTATCAATGGCTGGACACCTTAGAGCAGTGGTTCCCAATTAGTTTTTCCTGCGTACCACTTCAAGAAAGAGCTCAAACTTGCTTACCCTTATAGCAAAAATTCATATTAATCCATACTAATATTATAAATTTGAAGGTAATTCTATCTGTTACCTTTTCACATCTAAAGGCTGTTTCACACTATGATCGACTAGACCAATTGGTACTACTCCAAATCGTGTTGCCATGATAACAGCAGTCGGCCGACCGACTGGTCATTCCAATCGGACAGTTTTAATTTAAAAAGTTAAATATTTGTAGTCGGGTCGAAGCAGTCGGTGAGCTACAGCCAATGAGAGCTTCGAAACTACAACCAACCAGACTTCGGATATATTAAAACTATCAAATCAATCAAACATAACTTTACATTATATATATTTCTAATTTATTTAAATTTTCCTTCGTACTTAACTTCTTTCATAACTGCTTAAATTTTATATGGGAACACAAATGACTAATATATATATTAAAGAACATTATCGACATAATGAGAAAAAATGGTATTATTTAGACTTTTCGAAAGAATTTATAAACGAAGTAAGATAATTTCCGCAAAGTTTAACCAAGTAGATTACAAAAATATTTTTAAAAATTAGAAAAACTTAAAACAATTTCTAACACCCATTCCGATTGGTCCTTACGAATCAGCCATTGACATATAATCATACTCAATGTGAATGCTTCTATTACTAGTCAGTCTGATTATAGGATCGGTCAGGTCGAACCAATCGGTCCAGTCGGTCATAGTGTGAAACAGCCCTAAACTGCTGAACAGGTTTTAATAAAATTTGGCACAGAGATAGCTTACATGTTGGAGATGGACATAGGCTACATTTTACTGTGAGAAAATATCTTACTCCCATGAGAAAATTTGACATAATGTGGGCGAAGCTGTGGGTAGACAGCTAGTGATAAATAGAATAAGTTTTTTTTACATTTATTACCTTTTATTACATTTATTACCATTACAAAATATAGTTCTAATAATAATGAAAATAACATAAGGTTATTTAATTTTAATGTGACAAATGTGCACGACTTTCTTTGCACAACTTTGTAAAATCCGGTTGCTTTTTGGTAAGCTTCAGTCTCAAATCATCTTTGAATTGAAGTCTGTGACGATGTTTAGTTTTCATGTTTGTCATGGCCACAAAACGTGAAAACTAAGAGGTATGTTGAGCAAAATGGTAGTAAATATTTTATTGCCACTTCGCTGACATGATAATAATGATAATTGTACAATTAACACAAATTGTGTTAATTGTACAACTTTTGTTTCTTGCGTAAGAATTTCATTTAGGTATTGTCACAAATGCATTTTTTTGAAGAAATTTTGAGAATATTTTTAGTTTTAAATAAACGAATTTGTGCATTTGACATCATGTTGTAAATTGCCGAATTTTTAATGGTCTACCCATTATTTTTTTTGATTGCTTCATCTCATGCATTTAAATTTTAAATTTACCGATTTTAGATTGCCGCGTGTACCCCTTCATGCAATTTCACGTACTCCCAGGGGTACGCTTATCACTAATTGGAAACCATTGCCTTAGAGGTATGAAGGAGTACATGTCAGGAGTTGCAATTTGGCACAGAGTATTTGATGCCTAAATCATTTGCACATAAAAAAATTTGCAATGTTGCAAAATTGAATTTTGACAAACAAATCTTTGATAAAACCCATTTACCTGTCCCATGTTATTCCCGGCATATCTCTGGTCGCAACCTGCTGACCTTGACTGGTTGACCCGAGATATCTCGTTTCAGCATTGGAATGATTTTGAAATTAGATGGCACTAGTTGTTATAATTTTATATTAAAACTAACTTCCGAAACATAATTATTATTATATTTATGTTTTTACATTTTTAATATACAGTTTAACTTGCTTATAACGTCATCCATGGGGCCGGCAATTTTTTGACGTTATAACCGAGTGTCGTTATCTGCGGGGTCATAATTTCAGTCCCATAAAAGTATCAAGTCTATTTAAGAATCTATTATAAAATTCATCTAATTTAATATCGTATGTATAAAAGTGCAAACTAAATATTTAAATCAACTTTATTTACATTATTATGTCTAAATTTACAACGATGTAATTAAAAATTTCAAAAATTATTTTTTATAAGAAATTTTTATTTGTCAAGTTTCGATAATGGCGGCACTTTCGGTTTTGAGAATAATGTCGAATCAAAAGGCAACAAAAAGTTAAATTAAGCAAGAAATGAGAAAATTATCATCCAGGTGTTATTAACGCCTGGATGATAATTTTCTCGTTTCTTGCTTATCTATCAATAGACATGAAGTCCAATATCTTTCACTTTTAGGTTAAATTAATGTATATCAATTAAAAAGAAACAATAAAAATATTCACTTAAAAAAAGTCAGTTATTTTAGATTGTAGGCATTTTTCACCTAAAAATTGTTTATCAATGTCATTTTCTAAGTCGTAGATTTTGTTCATTATTTCCGATGAAGTTTTACGAGACCTGTAGAATTTGCTAAACCAAAGTCTCTGCATACATCTGCCTTTTTTCTTCCACTTTCAACTGCTTTAATTATTTCTACTTTGCAGTCTAATGTTAACGCTTTCCTTTTTAAGCTAGCCATTTTACCTGATTTGATGCTAAACTACAACACAAGTATGAGAGCTATGCAGACTAACCCACTGTCACATCGTTTAAAGGGATGGCGCATCTCACCCCACCGAATCAGGTGGTGACAGTACCACCCACAATCGTTCTAGGAAGCGGACTCTGACTCTAGGACTGAACATTTAGTATTTTCTTTGATAAATAAAATTTATAATTTAATTTTGTAAATTTAAGAGTGCGTCAAATATGATGTTAAAACAGGGTTTTATGTCATTACAAGTGGGTTTTTTAACATTATCTAGTATAGTAAAATCGTGGGACCGATAAAAATTTGACGTTATATTAGGGTTGTCGTTATAATCAGGTTAAACTGTATTTATTTTGTTTGTGCAAAATAAAAAATAATTTCGGACAACACAATAGCCATGATTATTTTTTTCAAAAATGGGAAATTTTTGTTAAGCATCAACAAAAATTCAACCTGGGGAAACACACAACAGAGAGAAATTTCAATATTGGATAGGTTAATTTCACTGAAAATGTATTGTGGACGACCTCGTTGCCGAGGCCAGTGAAGTTTGAACGATCGCACTTAAAACCAGAGATACAAAAGAAGATTGGAGAATGAGAACGAGACCGCCATGAGTGTTGAAGTGATCCCACTTAGTAGTGAGTCATCGAGACATAGTCTTGTCCCAAAAATGGCCTTGACATTTTACTTGTTCTGAATAAGATCTCTTCTATTTGCTAAATGGAAACACACCAGTGTAATAAGTCCAATGTAGACAAAGATACAAGAAATCAATTATGCTCTGTAATCAAGAGGAGGGCTTCCCATATATCAAGTATTTGTTGGAGGGTAAAGGATTTTCCAGCAACAATATATTTGCAAGCATAACAGTTTTAAAGTGTGGAACAGATGTATATAGCAAATGTATCAATTTTGTAAAATTGATACATTTTTGGAGAAATTGCTCCAATTGTTCATTGATAATCAATTTGGTCTTTAACACTGAAGTGATTACTAAACCTGAGGAAGGGATTAGAGATGAAAATAAGCTGGCTAGGACCTTTTCTAGGAAATATGTAGGATGAGTGTGCTTGTTAACCAATTGTCGTAGGGGCTGGCCAGCCTTATGTGATTTTACTTCAAAGAAAAGCCTTGGGAGGCTGTTTGTAGGCAGATATAGACCAGTGACTGTGGCTGTCAGACTATGCTGTACAATAATCTTTCTAGTTATTCTTAAGCTTGCATGAGTAAGATCATTGACCAATAAAGTAGATCCAGACTATTCTAAAAATTGAGTTACTCTAGCAACAGTATGTATTTGAACACAGACCAAATCTTTTGGTCTTGTCTGAAATCAATAGTTTAGGCTTTTGTTGTGGAGAAACTGCTTTACCAAGTTATTTACATTTCCTCTTAACCACCATTTGGGTTCAAATTAAGTTGAGTGTAAGTAGAGTTAGAAGAATACCAAGTAGAATAAAGTTTAGAAATGGCCACTATTTCCAAATCAGGTTTTGACCTCTAACAACTTTTGGCTGTTGCCATGACAGATGGAATCAACTGATTTACTGGAACTTTTACAAGTGGTATATATTTAAGTCTATATTCTAAAAATTGATGGATATTGTCTGGGACTGTTACATCTGAGTAGTTATGATAGCTAATCTTACTTGAGAGATTTGACTTGTAACTGGAGTATCATAGGATCCAGAGAAACTTCTTGTTCATTTTTTCTTTCATTACAAGTGACTGTTTGAATGAGATAGCATAAACCTTTACTAACTGTTCGTACAAAACCAAAGGATCACATCTATTGGTGAAAGCCATATGGGCAAGATAAAGAAAAAGTTCTGAAGAATCAACCTCCTTTCTTTCTTCAGTGATGAGCTTAGCCAATAATTTGCATTCTACCTTCAGAAGAGTAGGGTCTGATACATAGTGGAAAGGAGATGTACTTAATGGAGATCCATTTAGGCATTAGATTGTGCTGATGGCAACTTAATAGAAATTGCAGATGATGAGTCACTTCATCTTTGACTTTAACCTCTTAACGCCCACCTGTTTTTAATTATAATGTAATTAAGCATAAAAAATACTTAAAACTGAAAAAAAACAAAGAAATGCATTAATTTTGAAGAAAAAGCTTCAAATTTTATTTTCCTTTGTCTTGCCTTTCTGTGAAATTTGACACTGATGAGTCATTGTTTACACAGCTGGATGACCTTGAGAACAGCTGGAGTCGGATTTCCCGGGGCATTCTCATAGATGTCTCAGGAGGACAGGGGTTTAAAGTAGGATGAATATTAATTAGGCCTATATTTTTAAATATTTTTAAAAAATTAAAAATTTTATTGCGATTTCCGACCCCCCTAATTAATTAAATTTATATAAAATAAAATCTATTAATTAAAAAAATTAAAAAACTATCGGAGGTCATTTTTGACATCAGAAAGCAGCTTTAAATAACTTCAGCTAAGTCAAATCCATTCACTACAACTTTAGAACGATTAATTAATTTTGGTAAAAAAATCCCATTAAAAAACATTTAAGCCTTAATCGAGCCTTATCAAAGGCTAATTAAAATCGCGATAAAAAATTTTTTGTGCTGGCAAAAAATTTTGAAAAAATTTGGGGACTTAAAAAACATTCCAAAAATTCAAAAAAAAAAATTTCAAAACTCTCCTTAGGGGTTTTAAGTAAAGAAAATATTGTATTCTTTATATTACATTTCGTAATAAAAGGATAAGAGAGAAAGGTTAAAATAATATCAAGTAACACTTTCATTGCACTGTAACTTTTTCTTTAAAACTCCCAAGTTAAAAAAGCTATAACCATTAGTCAATTTTAAAAAATTGTCTAGCGTTTTTACATTTTTTAAAAATTTAAAAACATATTACTTTCTTACAGCATGTCTAATTTTTTAATAAAAATAACTATTTATATTACATTATAAATATTTTTATCGTTAATTTTTAACACTGCTAAAAACATGTAATGAAATTTTGCAGTTGCCAAGAATATTTGTTTGTTAAACCATTTTCAAACTTTTATTTAATTTTAAATTTTTTATTCAATCAGTTTATAAATTAATGAATAAATAATACAGTTAAATGTATAAATTGAATTAAAATCTTTCCTAAAATATTTTACATAAATTGCCTGTGAATTATTGTAGTTAAAATGTGAATTTTATACTAAATTAATAATTTATGTAGGTCCAAAAACTTTTTTCTTATATTTGAATATATATTTAGATGCATCATCACCTTCTCGTCATCCTTCCCCTCCAGTCATTTCACATATGCACCCTCAAGGTCCAGGACTAGGAATTAGACAAACGCCACATTCCTATCCACAGAGGGTATCTACTAGAGAACCACTTCAATCTCATAATTCACCTGGTGTAACAGAAAGAGAAATTGCAAGATTAGAAAAGTTTTCTACTCTTTTAAAGGGTCCTAATACAGATCTTGGTAAATTTTAAACTTTATTTTAAGAATTAGTTTTTTTTTAATGTAACATTATGTGAATCAAACCATCTGTAACCAATACAAACAAATGTCTGTATTGGTTACAGATGATCTGTAACCAATACAGACATTAGCATATTATTCTCTAAGTTTAGATTTTATATTAATTTATTTTTCATATGTATTACATAATAGAATAAAAAATATTTAAATAAATAATTCAATATTTTTGCGAAAAGAAAGAATTAACTATTGAGATGTCTTAATTTTCTAATTTCATTAGTATTTTAGGAGTTTATTATTTGGTTTGACCTTTAAAAAATTCTTGAATTATTTGCAACAATAAATTAAAAAATTTTTTCCTATAAAAGAAGAATGTATTCAAAATTTATAAATTCAATAATGTAAGCTGTCATTGGATGAACTTTACCTGAACATTTTATTAGAGCATAGTGAAATTCTAATGATAAACATTTAGAATATTTGTGTGAACCGCCAGGGAGGTCAGGGTCAGTCGCACCTCCCTATTCAGACAACAGGTTGTTAAATCTGCTCACTGTCAAGATGGCTTAAATGTTTCTTTTATTTTTACTGGTCCCGAGGATTGGGACTCTCAAATGTTGATTGAGTGGAGGGAGAGTATTTGGGGTCGACGATAAGGTGAAGGCTGTATACGAGTAAGAGTCTACCATTTTAACAAATAAAACAAGAATTTATTAAAATAAACCAAATTAACACAACTACAACACAAATCTCGACATTAAACCGCCTAACAGCTCAAGAGAGAGTTTACACGTCTTTTTTCATACCTCTTTATAGGTTTCCTTGACGATTTAATCCATGTAGGCACTTAAATGTCCAATAAAAGGTGTCTTTGATCCAAATGAGCACAAATATAAAAGTTCACGACTCTGGCGACGAATGGATATTGATATTAGAGGATCGGAATAGCAGCAAGTTCAGAGATTTGACTTGATGTTGTCAGTCCGGCTTTCGATAAGAGACTCCCCTGAGAGGGGGTAAGAACTGTCTTTTATAGCTTTTTGTGGGGAATTCCATCATGTGATCAAATTTTCTATGAGCTAAAGGTTATAGGTGTCCCAGGGACCTAAACAAGTGACAAAATTTGGATGCTAACTATAAACTCTTGTGCAAGTCGAGCTGCAAGTTATGTGAGAACAATAGAATGTTGATAGTTATGACAGGAAGGTTTACACACTCCCGGCTAAGATTGTTTTTTTCTTCTAATTTGTTACATAAACAAAAGTGAACTAATTACAATTTTTGTTAATAAAATTCCAGATCTCACATTCGCTTTTAAATGAATGAATATGTTAATTCACTAAAATTCAAATAAACTTTTTTTATCAAATAAATAAAAATAATGTTACATATTTATTCTTAATAATAATTTTCTAAAGAGAAAGTTATTATTATAGCAAATATTTGGATAAAAACAAATAGTTTATATTTTGATTGTACTAATTGCCAATAACACTTTCATAAGAGACATATACAAAAATGCTAAAAATTTATCCATATTATAATTGTATGGACTACATATTTTAAATTTCTTATCTAATTACCTTATCTAATTACACACTATATGCAAATAAAATAGTCATGAATATACTTATAATTAATCCTTTGGAGTAATGAATTTATAGTTAGTTATGAATTTTGTTATAAATATTTTTAATTATTTCATTGCTTTATTCTAGATGATTTGAGAAAACTTAGTTGGTCGGGAATTCCTACACCTGTAAGACCTGATACATGGAGACTCTTATCGGTAAACCATTAAATAAAATTTTATTTTTATTTAAAGTTAAAATAATAATAATAAAATTCTCATTGAATTATGGAAATTTAATTAATTTATTATAGGGTTATTTACCAGCTAATGCTGACAGAAGAAAATCATCACTAGAAAGGAAACGTGTAGAATATTTTAATTTTATACGCCAATATTATGATACACGATATGAAGATGTGTATCAGGAAACTTATCGACAGGTACTTATTATTTTGTTTCTAAAATAAACATTTTAAAACAATGATTAACTGTTGATTAAATCTATTAACATGAACACTGATATTTAATTTTTATTTTAGAGTAAATTTAGTTAATAATATGAATTGCTACATATTAGAATCAGTGTTAATTATTGATGATGACATAAGGAGTTATTAACACTGTTAACATTTTTTATTTTATTTGCAGTTAATAATTTTGAATACTTTTATGTTTTCAATTGAACATTAAATTATTTTCAGCTTTTATACATGTTTTTTATTGATATCATCTTTCAGAAATGTGCATTCATACTATCAGTATTTTTGTCTTCATTATTTTTACATATGAGAATTACATTTGATAATTTAAACGTAATAGTTATTACAAATATATTTTTTTGTATTGCTGTCTATTTGAAGATACAATTATTTGAAATAACAATTTACGTATAGAATAGTTTGTTTATGATTTAACAATAGCAATTTGTCTTTATTTAATTATACATTATTATTATTATTGTAGTGATATATTCCTGTGTGGTCTTCATCAGTTTTATATTCTACATCAGGGGTTCTCAAACTTTTTTTACTGTTGACCCCTTCAATGATTCCTCAACTTTTTATTAACCTCCCCTTTTTTGCTAATACAGTAATAATAGTAATATATCTGGTGAGCCAGAATTAATCCACATGTTGTTTTCATAGGAAATATCTGTTTAGTACACACAAATTTACAATATCCAGAACTGTCATATACATAACCCATTAGACTACATCAATGATGTTTAATTGACCTTCAACTAATTTTTAATTCTGAAAATGCCTTAATGATGCCTAGAAGTCAATATTGGCTATTTTGGGGACCCATCCTCTTCATTACTTTGAAAATATTTCAGTTTTCAAATAACTAATAATAACTGTTGTTCAGCTACTTGTATTTATTGAAATAATAAATATTTTTGATTCATTCATTGTATTCTTTTTGTCAAGTATAACAAGATGTTAGCTAGTGAACATAATAACAAAAATAATTTTAAATAAATAAAAAATGAAAAATTTAATAAAGAAATTTAAGAAAAATAATTTATTTGGATAGTAAATTTAATTGTATTAATGAAAAGTATTAAACATTTTAACTTTAAACTAGACTTCTGCACTACTTGATCGAAGAGTTGACTTTGCTTCAGCAATGACTACATTAGGATAGAAGATACCCGCACAACAACTAGGGCTGTTTTTGTTTAACATTCATGTTGTTGTTGTTGCTAGGTCTTGCAAGTGGTTGTGTGTGTAGATGATCAGATTCGGGATGGAGGAGGTCTGAGAGACAGTGAGTTGGAAGTGAATCACTCAGATGCCAATTGACAACTAATAACTTTATTTGAAAAGAAAAAAGGAATTACATGATATATGTACATTGTACCATGTTGAAATAACTGACTTATACACTGTAGATGGTTGTGTGAGAGAGAGAGTTTACATGATATTGCATGTAGATGTAAATACCTGAAGTTTAGTTGGTCTGCTAGTAGATGTGGTAACTTCCCTTTCCTGGAAGTAGAGGTGAAATCTAGAATTGTCCTGGGTTTTGGTGATGAAGTTAGGCCTATTAAGAGGCAATTAAGTGTTCTGTTTCAACAATGACGTTAATCCAAATAAGAGGCACTTAATAAATCCATTTAGCGACTGCATCTGTTAGAGGACCAGGTGATGACTGTAACCATCAGAGGAATGGGTGTCAACTGCCTCAATGGACTGTTGATTGTTATATTAAACCTGTAAATTTTCATCCGATGGAGATTATTATTTAATAAAATTGAAGACAAAATCTGCCCAAAAAGTACCACCATTTATTTTCTCTGTCATTTTTGGTGACTGACCTTTCTTTGTAGGCTACTTGTCATCAGAAGTTAAAAAAAGTCCTTTTAAAAAAACACAAAATATATCCAATTAAAATTACAAGTAATTTCTAAAAAAGGAACTGGTTACATACAGATGTCTTGCTTGCATCCATCCATACCTTTTTTTGGGGTGTTATTGCTTTTATCTACTAGAAACAGGTGCTGGAAAATGTAGATTTTAAGAAAGCTGCCCCTGGTGATGATACATATAGAATTTTCATCTGTAAATTTTTGTCTGATGGAGATTATTATTTAATAAAATTGAAGACAAAGTCTGCTCAAAATGTTTTATTAAAGTTGGTAGTATACAACTGGGAAGACAAAAGGTTGCAGGAAAGCATCACTTTCGGCATTGAGAACATGTAAAATGAGATGTTCTCAGGTAATAGTTGACTGTTATCAAATGACAATAATCAATTATATGATTATGGGTTGGCAGAACTGTTTTAGATGACTAATAATGCTTGGATAAATGTCAAAATTCAGTTTAGGAATAAAAATCAAATTTTTGTCTTGGAATGAAAAACTAGAATTTAAATTGGTATGATATAAATTGCTCTCAAAAACTTTTTAATATAACAAAAGTCCAGGTTCCCATACATATAAAGTTGCTTTATAAATATTTAGGATCTTTTTTCATTTTAAATATTAATAATGATACTTCAGCATTTTCCTTTTTTCATAATACATATATCTGAAAAATTATAGAAATAATATAATGCAGAACAATTAGAATTTTTACTTTTAAAATTTTATATAAAAACTGTTGTAGTAGGAAATGTTTACATGTTAATAGTTTTGTAATATCTTTGTTGCTGAAATATTTTATTGACAAATTATTTTAATGAGTTTTTGAATATTAAAATCTTCTGATTTTAAAAAAATGTTCACTATCTTTTTGATATCAAAAATTCAATTTCTAACATTTATCTTTCAGGACTGTTCTAGTTTATAAATTTATCAAATATTTTTAATTAAAATTTCAAATTAGTGTAAACATTATATAAGTCAATAACTATATCTTATGAAGGATTTTTGAAATTATATAGTATATAGTATTATTATATATTTGTCTTGAAAGAGTATTGTAAATATTGATTTTTCTTTATTCTAAGATTCATATTGATGTTCCAAGAATGAGTCCTTTGGTTCCATTATTTCAGCAGGAAATTGTACAGGAAGTAAGTAAAATTTTGAAGTTGTTTAAAAAATGTAACAAAAAATCCTTACAGAATATTGCTATATTGAAAAGAGGCAGATTTTTGAAATGCTATTTAATAGTATATTTTCTTAAATTGTTAAAAAAATTAATGATAAGTTAATTGGATGATCAGATCAGAATAATTTATTTAGTGATATTAATTTGAAATTAAAAATATACCCACTTTGCAACATTTTATTACATTATTCATTATCAAATAAGTATGAAAATATTAAAGCAAATTTATCTCAGTTTAAAAATTAATATGCTGAAAGTTCTATATTTTCTTAAACATGAAATTTTAAGACCATATGATGATGATAAATGAATTTGAAATATTTCAGTTTTTAAAAATATATAATATGAATATTATTAATGTATTAACAATGTATAGAAGGCAGTACTTCAATTTTTTGTTTACTTATTTGATTGTGCTATATGTATTTATAAATTTAGAATAATAAAGAATAATAATGTGACATTTGTCAATTTTTATGTAAAATTTTAATAAAAATATTTTGTTTGAATTGTAGAATGCAACTGATTTAAAAAATGAAAGTAGCAATTTGTATTTTTTTCATGTTTTTTGTCATACAGTTGTTTAGAATTTAATTTTTGATGATTTAGTTATGATGGTGGAATTTTCACGGGAATTATTGCAAAATAGCTTCAAATTGCTTTTACATTTGATGATCATCTTTGTCAAAGTGTCTGTTAAATTTTTACTCTTAATTTTAAGTTTTTTGAAATCATATCAGTATTTTCCTTATTCTTCTGTTTTTTAAATTTTGTAAACCTATATATTATGTATAATATATAATATAATTATAACTTTTTGTATAATCTTAATTATTTTCAATATCAATCTGTATTTTAAATAAAGTAAATTTGAATAACAATTTTTTTAATGATTTACATTATTATTTATTTGTTAAGTCATATAAAAAGACTTAAAAAGGTAATATAACATAGTTTTTTAACATTTATTTGTATACAATAATATATTACTGATTATTTTAAATTAATTTCTTTTATCTAACTTTATTTTTGCCTGTATACAAGTTATATGTATATACCGTGTTTCCCCCGAAAATAAGACAGTGTCTTATATTAATTTTTGCTCTGAAAAATGCGCTAGGTCTTATTTTCAGGGAATGTCTTATTTTTTCCAGGAAGAAGAATTTACATTTATTATTGAACAAAAAAATTTCCCAAGTCGAACTTAGACGAGAGTGACGTATATCCGGT